GACAGGTGGCTTGGAAGGCGTTAGTATTCAGAGCCAGGTCATCCGAAGATGTGGCGCTGAAGGAAAAGTAGAGGATGAGTGGGTGTGGACTTACCGTATGGAACCCAGAATCAACGCGTTCCCCTCAATGGCTTGGAGTTTGTAATGCATCTCGTTCTCATTAACTGTTCGACAGACAGTTTTGAAGAGGTCAGGGATGGTGAAAACGCGGAAGAGCTTGCAGACCCGTGACATTGCTCTGAGGCTGTTTCGATCTTCAAAGTAGACGCCTCTTCGACTTTTAGAGAGCTTAGCAAATCCGATAGTCTCGATGATCAGCTCCAGAGGCAGGGTCATAAGGCTGGCGCTCGATGAGGGAGTGGAAATGACCGTTTTGGTTGCAATATAGCCGCTCCCTCTGGAAACATCCTCCATGGTAGTGGTTTCCTCGATGACCTTTGTCGATAGATAACTTGAGAAAGTTGGAATTCGAAGGTGGGTAGCGATTGGAGGCTCGTTAGCTCAGGAAAGTGCCAAGAGAAAAGAATTGAGTACCAGGCGAGGAAGTAGCGGGTGTTGGCAATATAAGCAAATATTGCAGATGGCCCAGAGCAAAGCTGGTATTATGCCATTTTCATGAAGGAAGCTGCGAGAAGGTGCAGCTTTCGAACTTGACAAAGAGTTGAGGCAGTTGTAGGAAGTGGCCACCGTGAGAAGATATTCGGGGCAAATGGAAGCCATATACCTAGGTACTGGGAATAGTAGGCACATAGCATCAAGTACTTATCACAGCCTTCCAGTAAGGTAGGATTTCAGGCCACCGAGGTTTATTTTATTCAAATTGTCTTGGCCTGCCAAACCACCTCGGATACCTTGGATGTCCTATATTTCCATTCTTTACTGAAGAGCAATAAAGAGTCGTTTATTACGAACACACGCCTTTGTCTTAAGGTGTGCCATAGAAGCGATGACAAGGGGAGTGAACCAGACACGACATGGAACAAAGGCTATCCAGAAGTTCAGAGATGCCACTTTCTCTAAAGACAAAGATCACAACAGACAAGACACGCGGTCTAGTACAAATTACCGTTGAGAATCATGATATTCTTTTGCCAAATAAAATCCCATTTCAACTGAACGCCAATACAACTTGTGCATTTGTGCACTTCACTAACTAGCCCTTATGCCCTTGTATCACATAGCACTGTCGCCTCTAGTAGGCCAACGATTAGGTGCTTGGGCAGGGAAACAGATAAAGCAGGATGAATTGCAAATAACCTCAAAGTACGGACACGAAGATCCTCGCGGGCATAGGCATGGCATGGCCCCTTGGCCAAAAAGACATGAAGCTAGGGCCCTCAGACAACAGGCCAAGGGAACTCCTGCACTCCATCCGAGAATTTGACGTCGATGAGTTGTCCTTGTTTGTCTTTGACGGGAACAAAGCAATGCCCCTGAAAAGCTCGGTCCATGATGTAGAGAACTTCCAAGTTAGGAAGGTTCTGCCAGACTCTCCACGCCTGGTCGTACCGCCGGGATCTAGCATCATGGAAACCGATTGCGGGGAGTAGCTTCTTGGCCATTGTCGAGGCCTGATAGTGAACTGGCAAGATCGCATCCAGAGGTGAGGAAGCCTGGCACCGCTCATCACTGAGTGCAAGAACTTTGAGGTTGGCCATGGGCGTCAGGTGTCCAGTTGCTAACTAATGTGCGAAACTGGTCAGTAGGGTGTTCATGAGACCTGCAGTGAGGCAGATAAGGTAAAGAATGGAATAGTAACTTACCTGCAGATCCCATCTCGGCCGCACCGGGGAACCTCCAAAGGCCATAGTTCCGCCCATCGTCAAGCGAGATATCTGTGGGAAGATTGCTTGGACCTCTTGGAAGTCACTGGCTTCCCATCGCATTTTGCAGATCTGAATATATGCAAGCTGGGGTCCAAGTATGCTCGCAAGGTCGCTCAGACCATCGATCGAGGACAGTGGTTTGTTCAAAGGCGCCTCGAAGCTGAAAGCTTGGAGATTCGGAAAGCCAGTTACAATGAAGCCGATGTCTGTCGTGACGGGGAAAGACAACGCAGTGACTAGTGAGAGATCCCACTGAACTGCATCCATAATCCGAGACAACGGTCTGATGAGAGACAACGTTGCCTTGAATCGAAAGTCCATCCGGAGTTCCCGAAGATTATCCAATTCGCCGATAAGGAACATGATGTCCGTTGGAGTTGACGGTCTGCAGGCAGCCTTGGGGCCTTGGACCTGAACAAAGCGGCCGGGGGTTCGTGAGGTTGGCGGACCTTCTGTGTAGATGCTGAGTACTCTGAGAGGAAGTAATTGTCAGTCAACAGACCTGTGCCATGTGGGTAGATTACCAGACATACTGTATGGAACGAAGGATGAGTCTATTGCGAAACACCAACATCACATGATCGGCGAGGGCATCTTCAGCGCAGCTTATCTGAGAAACTCGGAAGATGATGGGAATGCTGAGACCTCTCATGAGTCGGCTAGTATTCGAGATCGGGACGAGAGAGATGTTGTTGTTGTCCATCTGGCGGAGAATTTCCAAGATGAGCTCTTGGGGCATCCGTTGGAGCGGAAATCCGCCGCTGCCGCCGTTTGTAGGAGGCTGGCCAGGGAATTGGATAGGAGCGATGGCACTCATCTTGTCGCTGGTGGTAGATGAGAAGCGAAGACAATTTCGTATGAGAAAAGTATTTGCAATGCTCAGTGTGCGTGGGATGAGGGTGAGAGTGAGATGGGAAAGTGAGGCAATCTCGTGTGAGCGCGGCAAATATTTCCGAGACTCGATGGATTTTGACAAGGAGAAAGGCTGTAGTGAGGAAAGTGAAAGAAGAAGTGACAGGCGATCTCGAATGAGGGGAAATGTCTGCGAGACTCGATAGGTGTTGAGAGGAAGAAATTCCAAGGTGAGTGAGGGTGAAAAGAAACAGTGGCAGGCCAAAGACGCGACTGAGGTGGAATTTTCAGAAGAAAGTAGGAAGGCACACTCACCCTTCACCCGGTCGTACCTTCCATAGTAGGCGGTGTGATATTAATTTTATGAAGTTGCGTATTCAGTCACTCACGTGTTCACTATAACGATGCAGGAGACAATCTGGATTCTGGAGTCTGGGATTAGTACTTTAAAGACGGCCATAATAGCGCCTTTGTTTCTTACTAGCCCTCGTCCCTTCCTTCTTCTTCGCCTTTCTTCTTTGTGCAAGATGAATGAAATGAATCTTGAAGTTGTCTGTCCAGTCTCCTATAAGTTTGGTATTGGTGTATTTACTGAAAAGTTGCTCATCTAAAGCAAGCGAACTTCCTTGAAAAACACAGGCAAAGGTAATATTCAGGCGTTGATCTCCTCCTCGGTATCTATACATTGCTTTCTTAATGCTTCAAAATACATCCATGTTACAGATAAAATCTTCACGTTGTCGAGGACTGAAGCATCGCCAGCCCTGGGCCCCGTCTACTGATGACTTCTCCTGAGGCAGCCTAGCCAGGCTACCAGTATCTTCGGACCGGTTCTGTCGCTGCCAACTGAAGCACCCTGCCTGCAGAACTACTTCTTAGTATCGTCGCTTGAACCGTCAGAACGACTTTTGCACATCTTGTTGTGGAAATAAACAATCAATGACTTTCTATTGATGAAGGCTACATGGAGAAACGCAGGAGGTGCCATTCCAATCGCGAGATCCGCCGCTTGAAGTTGAGTCACGACCGGACACTTAAAGTGCCGGGCGAACTATACTCGTGATGATGACCCGGTACGTTCCGACCACCCCAGGCAGCATAGCAGCGATGATTCTCCGTCATAAATAGTTAAGAGCACGCTTCGAGTTCAAGGGATTCGCTATCATTTCTTCATCGTCGAATAAATACTGGGGTAGAAATTCTTCACGATGGACCCTGCAAATTTGGGAGGTCAGAGAACCGTAGTGCTGGGACTCTATGACCATTTTATTCGGGCGGTCAACTTCATGGTAATATTATTCCAGCAATCTACCAAAGAGATGGATACTGATTTTTAAACACCAGGCTCCATATCCCTTCCTCTATCTCTTCCCCACGAGGAGGATCTCCCGGCACTTGTTAAATTCAAACCATACATGTACAGACACTACCATATTTCCACCTCGTGGCGTCCCAAAAACGCCTAAAAGCCGCGACAGTCTTACACATCGGCTTCTTTCCCTTGGCCTTTGGGCCTGCTACAAGGGAACACAATCGGTTGTCTACTCCCGGCTAGAGTCACACTTGCCACAAGTTGTTGCATCGACGCTCACCACGATTGCCTGTGCTCCTATCCGGCTGTCCTGGACATCTCTAGTCACGTCTGACGAGAATGAGAGGGACGGCACCTCCATGACGTCTCTGTTCGCCATACGACGTGCCACATGGCTGCGCTTCATCGCTACAACGATTTTGTGCGACAACTTCGATCTTGTGACGAGCTTATGCCTCAAGTTTTTCTTCGACGCTATCGCCCCGTTCCCATCTGACGAAGAGATGCTCAGCGGCGAGGCTACGATTCGTGTCTCGTCTTGTCTGGAAACCGCTGCCTTGATTCTGCCAACTGTCATGCTCTTATGGATACCGGAAACAGTAATCTCCACCTGTGCTGCTACTGCTGCACTTTACCAACATTTGGAAGTCGACAAAGGATGGTTGGTTGGTGTCGCGGAGGACATTCGTATTGGAATTCACTCCATGAGTTTGCAACTATGTCGAGGCCTGGCCCAAGACTTCTTGCTCGGATCCGTCAGTGTTCTAGGGATTGCTTTGGCTCCGATGGTCGGTTGGGTGCTGTTTCTGCGATCTGTATGATAAAGTAACTTCATGTAAGAGTATGTGTCTTGCGCCAGCAAAAGATGTAGTCTACAATTACCACCCAGCTCAACCGCACAGCTTCATATATTTCGGATAGCAAGTGCAGTGAGTTTACTCAAAGATATGTTCACAGGCTGTCATGTCGTGTACAAGCATGTATGGTTGTGTTGATTGAATAGAACTCGGCTACATCTTACTCGGCATCCGCATGCCACCATCTAACCTCAACACTGTCCCATTGAGCATCACATTCTCAATAGCATGCCGTGCTAGTGCCGCAAATTCCTCAGGCTTACCCGCACGTACGGGAAACTCCATAGAACGCTCGAGACTGGCGCGGACCTTGTCGGACATCATGGAAGTCATGCGTGACTCGAATAGACTCGGGGCGATGGTGACAACGCGGATGCCGAAGCGGGCAAGGTCACGGGTCATAGGAAGCGTCATGGCCGCGACAGCGCCTTTACTCGCGGCATAGGCGACCTGACCCTTTTGGCCGTCAAAGGCCGCAGACGATGCGACCATGATGACAATGCCGCGCTCGCCGTCGGGCTTGGAGGGCTCGTTCTTGGCCATGAGAGCCAGTGCCTGGCGGGTAAGATCGATGGTGCCGCGTAGGTTGATGTTCAGGACAAAGTCCCAAGCATCTAGGCCGAATGGCGCGCCATGGCGGTCGAGGATCTGGCTTGATTGTTAGACACGCATAACACGGCAGTAGATGGACTCGGGGATGGAAGCATACAGATGACGGGTTACCAACACCGGCTGCTGGGATGACACCTCCGACAGGCTTTCCTGACTCCCTTACCCAGGCGGCGGTTCCCTGGACGGCGGCCTCGATGCTCTTGGTGTCCAGAACATCGCAGACAAAGAACTTTGCAGATGAGCCCAGCTTGGACACCAGCTCATTGCCGCTATCCTCATTCATGTCCAGAATGGCGACATTACCTCCATTGTTGCATATGTCCTCCACGCAGGCCTGTCCCAGGCCAGACGCGCTGTCATGGGATGGAAGTTAGCGGGGAGGTCATTAGCATGTGATCAGGGATGATGGGCTGGTTGGGCCGTGGAGAGAAGCCTGTTGAGTGAGAAGTTGAGATGCATTGCTTACCCGCCAGAGATGATGAAAGTGTGGCCTGAGATCTTCATTATGATGTTTGTCTATGAGAAAGTATAAATCAAATCACATGGGTTGCAGTTGAGGGATGGATGTCAAAGGAGGTCAAATACCTAGGACGGCGTTGAGGTGAGAGCTTACAGCGGGTGCTCCACTAAAGCTCGGTAGTCCGGTGAGGAACAAAGTCAAGCCTCGGCAGCCGGTGTAGGCTCGGTGAAGTCTGCCAGTCCCATTGATTATGAGGTGGAGTGTCAAGCCACGATTGGCGGGGTCACCTGAGGCAGTACGTATCCCCAGGGCTGGAACAGGACGGAGTGCAGGACCAATGAGATCCTATCTCGGGCCGTCTGATAAGGCTTCAAGGTACGTACTCCGAACAGCCACACCTCTGGCACGTGCGCTGTACGCGGGTGGGCTTGACGTTGGCGCTCGAGCCCCCCCATCCCATGTCGCAGACTCAGCGGAGCCCGGCGGAGGCCCGGCCCAGTTGTCTGGTGGTGGTGGTGTGCCGTCATTGCAGCACCTCTGGGTGCTTTGCCAGCGCACTTTACTGCACCAACCAACTACGGATACCTGAACGCAATCAGCGCAAGGCTAAGAGCGCACCTCAAGCGACGTCAATCTTCCTTTTCCCGTCCCTTGCCCAACTCGAAACAACAAACCCGATCTGACGCCCTTTCGTTGCTCGTTGCGACCTCAACGTCGCTGCCAGTCCCAGAGGCCGTCGATTCTTTACTTCCTCCGTTTCTTTATGCCTAGCATTTCTTGCTTTTCGCAAATCGAAACTTGCGCCTGAGCGCGTTATCGGCCCAAACTAGAATTGTCACCGTCTTTTGCTTACAAACTGCACGACTTTCCCTCCTCCTCCGCCATTCAGCTTCCCTCGTGGCCTTATCGCCGCTGCGCCGCTGTCGCCCGACTTTTTCGACCGATACACCCCATCGCGCCGCATCCCATACCTTATACACATTCCGCACCGCCACGATGACGAGACCGCGGGGTTCCAGCGCCGCGAGCGAGGAGAGCAACGGCACCGCCGGCGAACAGGTGAGGAACCACCCAAACGAGCTCCGACCCGATAACGACCGGGAACATGGGATGGGATAGCATACTGACGGAGTGCGCAGGAGCTGGGTAGCATGTACGACTACTTGGCAAAGATTATCTTGATAGGACCAAGCGGGACGGGCAAGTGAGTGGCATCAACACCCGAATGGGAGCACGCGACCAACTCCGGCCCTCGCACATAGCTGACATGGCGCTTCTCCGCGATCTCAGGTCCTGTCTGCTTCACCGCTTCGTCAAGAACGAGTGGAGAGTCCTGTCGTCACAGACCATCGGCGTCGAGTTTGCAAGCAAGATCATCAAAGTCGGCACCGGATCACGGCGGAAACGGATAAAGCTTCAGGTATGCCCCCAAAACTCTCAACAGCGCGACCGAAAAAGGAAGGCGATGCTGATTACAGGAACACCAGCTTTGGGATACGGCCGGCACCGAACGATTCCGCTCCGTTTCGCGATCATATTACCGAGGCGCCGCCGGGGCCATTCTCGTCTACGATGTCACAAATCACAGCAGTTTCCGCGGTCTGCAGCCCTTCCTCAATGACGCACGCGCACTAGCATCCCCGAATCTATCATGCCTATTAGTAGGCAACAAGCTCGACCTCGCTTCCGACCAACTTATCGATACAAGCCTTCCTCCGCCAACACCGAGCAGCGTCGGCTCCATGTCGTACTTTGCAAACGGCTCCGTCGGATCAACGGGAACAAGTCTGCCATCGCTCGGCACGCAGCAGAAGGCCACGGAGGCGCCGGAAGGGCGGGAAGTCAGCAATGCGGACGCAAACAGATGGGCAGGGACGGTCGGGATCCCGGTGGTGATGGAATCGAGCGCGTTTAACGGCGAAAATGTGGACGAAATCTTTGCGAGGCTCGCTAGAATGATCCTTACCAAGATCGAGCTGGGCGATATTGATCCGGACGACCCGATGAGTGGCATTCAATACGGCGATGGATACGGAGGAGGATGGAATGCGGGAGCCAGCGATGGCGCGAGTATCAAGAGCTCCATGACTGGCGCGACACTCGATGAAGCGGCGGGAGGTGTCCGCAGAAGAAGAGGCCGACGAAACACGCGCAGCGGCGCAAACTGGGGGCTGAGAGATTGGGAAGAGGTCTTTACGTTGTCGAACCGACGAAGAGGGGGCAACTGCTGCTGAGGTGTTTTTGCCTTATGGTACCATGGGGTGCCATATGGTGGAAGAGAAGAGACGAAACTTGGATTCTTGCTGGTTGGTATCCTTGGGCGTGGAGTTTTGCGAGGAGTCTTTATTTTCCAAGGGATGGTCCATCACAGGGCCGGGATACTACGGGCTCGAGGGTCCGAGATTAGCGTTGTACCTGACTTTTGGTTGACGACGAAGGAACCACGTTCTCTTCACATGTCGAAGTTGGTGGAGCTGGCGTTGCGGGATAGATACCTCATTCTTAGGTCAGGGCTGGCCATACACATACACGCTTCGCTTTCACAACTACATACATTAATGACACCTTTTGGTACATGCAGACAGGGCGGGTGCTTTTTGTATTGATGATGTGACTTTTGCCGGTGACTAGAAGGGTTCGACTATGGGGAACATGGAACTAATTGCATGATCTGATTTGGAATTTGAATCAAAAAGGCAATCTTAACAGTCTCATGACGGAGCTTTGGCTTCCTGAATCGTTGGCAAATGTAATATCTCGAGTCTGATATTGGCCGTGAAGTGAAGGGCATGATGAACGGCGGGAATGCATCCGTCCCACTGGAAGCCCACCCGGGCGATGTGATGCCAGAGGATGAGAAGGACGGCGCAATAGAAAACCTGAAACGGCTAGCTGCAGAACTGCAATGCATTTGGAACACGGCCGAGAAAGCCAGTGATTCGAAACCAGAGTAAGCTCTTGCCGTATCGTAAGAGCGAGGGAGACTGACAACGTGGAAGATGGTCGTCATGAGGCTATCCTCGGGCCCTGAAGCATCGGAGAATGATGCAGCGATTCCCACGGCTATTCCCAACAGAGAAGACGGAGGGCCTCCCTCCGCGAAGGAACCCCACCGAGGTGGGCAGGGGTCTCCAAGGTGGAATTGGGGGAAACTTTTGGATATTTGGGGTAAAGAGGCGGTTCTCCACTCCGTTCGGTGGTGATTTATATCCCCGATGGTGAGACTCGTCGATATTTATGGGAACTGGGACAAAGGTTTTCGAATAGGAAGAGTTGCCGATTTGCCATGACGAGTTGTATCCAAGAGGATACCGGCGTGATGGGAACGGTCTCTTGCCAAGAACATGTGCTGCGCCGTCAGTGGGCTTCTCTACTGCTACTGTAGAACCAGCCCGGCCAAGGTAAGGTAGGTAAGGGGCAGCATTGCCATCACAGACGTTCTTATAGTAAGACCCCACCCCATACGACGGATCACCCCCCACGACAGATTACCTAATTTAAACGATTTTCCAGACTTCGACTTTTCGACCTTATAACTACGAATTTAATTATTAGTAGTATAACGCTACTAAATCTAAAATTCTAAATATATATTAATAAATTAAGCTTTTTTTGTACTATTTATAGGCGTTAGAACTATAATCGGGCGCTACGGGCGAGCCTTAGCCTCCCTTTTTACCCTTATAATAGCCTTAATTCGTACGAATTACTTATTTAGATCTTAACGTACTTTTACCCTTATAATTAGCTTATATAATTATACTTAAGCCTTTAGTAACCTAATAACTAATTAGGTATTAACTAGGGCTACGTTCTGGGCGTTTAATTATTTACTTACTTTATTAAATATTAACTTATAGGTAACGGAATTAAAGTTATCCTTGCCCTTATCTCGTACTTAGAGCTTTTAGTACTTCCTAAGGTCTCCTAACTTTTTAAAGGTAATAATACTATAATTTTAGGGTATTTTAGGTACCTTTAGAAATAAGGGCTCTTATAATAGTACTCGTAGAACGTTTATAGGCTACGCTATAATAATAAATTTACTAAATAGGGGCTATTATATATTAATAGGGTATAGCCCTATTATTTTTTAATTAGTATATATATTTTACTTTATAAGTACTTATACTCGGGCTTAGAAATAATAGTAAAGGAAGTTCTGCTTTTTAATTAGCGCTAAGTTAAGCTAGAGGCCGTAATTTATAAACCTATTATAATAGTATATCTTAAGTAATAAGAATACTAAGATATCTAGGGGCTACGTAATATAGTTAGAATATAGTAATAAATAATATAGGTAAATACCCTTAAGGTAATATTACTATATAAAATTATTAGAGACGTAACTGCCGTACTTATTAATAATAAGTAGATATTTAGATAAGAGTTTTTTAGCCTCTGCTTCCGTTTGCAGAATAAATATTTTAACTAGTTATTCTAACTTAATTATATTTAAAGTCTACTTATTTATAGAGGATATAAAGCTTTACGAGGTATAATTTAATATTTCTGTAGGGAACTACTATTATTATACGGTTTACCCCTTAAAGATTACTAATAATAAGAGGTACTAGCTACTTATAAAAATATACTCGAGTATAGAGGTTTAGGTACGGTTTTTTAGTATTTAAATATAAGTAGATTTCTTTTTAAACTTACTTAGTACTAAATAGTCCTTATTACTCCTTTTTATTAATCCTATCTCGTTTATATTTTAATAGAGGGATATTAGGATTTTATAAATATTTAAGAATATTAGAATTTTTGAAAAAGCTTATATAACGTTAATAGTAATAAACTTAATATACTTAGAATTTATATAATAAGCCCGTAGTATTAAGAGCGTAGGATTCTTATATAAGAACCCCTTTAGTTACTTTTTTTTAAGTAAGCGCTAGTTACTACTTTATTAGGAAATACGCGTTATAAACTCTTTAATTTAGGTATAGGTCAGAGCGAACCTTAACTAGCCCTATAAAATTACTTAGTAAGTAAGGGATTATTCTTAGTATTTACTAAGCTTTTAGTAATCCTCTTTTAACTTCCTAACCGTTATAGTATTTCGTAGCTAGTTTAAGAGGGTAATATAGGGGATTCCTTAGTTTATAATAGCCTTCTAAATCGACTTACTAAAGCCGACGTTATATTGCGCGTTTTTAACGTATTCTTCCGTATATTTAGGTATAGTAAATCTACTAGTAATTTTAGTATAATTTTTGTAATTTTTTTTAATTATTTATTACTTATGTATTATAGTAGTAGTAGTGTTGAAGGAGGGAAAAAATTGTTTAAATTAGGTGATCCGTTGTGGGGGTTGATCTGTCGTGTGGGGTGGGGTCTTAATAGTTGGACTCTTAGAACAGAAGCACGAGGTAAAGGGTCACCTCACTCAAACCCCTTGGTCTTGCAGCCATGTGCGTGGCTTCCTCCGAATGCAGCCCGCCGGCAGGTTGACTTTATCCAGCAAGGGATATAACCACACAGTGGCAGCACACTTTAAACAATGTTCCATTTCTAATCCTAGAGAACAGACAGTCTTGTGCCCGTTGGAGAAAAAGAGGCGTCCCTCATTCTCCGCGCGTGCCTGGCTTGGACCAGATGGGGAATACCGGTAAGTGAGAGCAGACAAGGTGGGAGGTGTGGGGGAGCTGATTTCCAAGGAATCCAACGGGGAAAAAGCCTATGAGGAAAAAGGGGCCCTGGATCATGGATCGGGCATGGAGGGAATGGAGATGCATCTCGGCGGGTGTCGTCCCGTCGTTCAGACTGAGGCAAGTTGCACGAGGTTGGAGGAGACTCTCATCCCGGAAACTGGACATGTTGGTCGGAGTTCAGGGATATTTTGGCTTGAATACCTCTGCGCCGTTCCCGAGGTGAGGCGAGCTATACGAATTAGTGTAGAGAAAGCTCAATTACCTGACAAAGACCAAAAGCATGAAATGAGGTGAGATGAGAGGTGGTGAGGTGAGCTCAAGTGGAGAGAGCTCCCCAGTCTGGTATGAGTGAGTGTGGTGCATGGATGAGATGGTGAGGAGTATATGAGGACGACACATCCTCCCAGCCTTCCACGCGTATGGCAGTCATTTCGCGTGAAGATTCTCTGAGAGCTTCCATCATAAGCTACACGGTCTCACTTACTCTCTGCTACTTCGCTTCATCGTGAGGTTGCCAATTGAGCGAGAATACTGTCTTGTCTCATTCACCCTCGACGTTCTCACAGTAAGACACCCAGCACCACGATCTGCCCCTCGGCCCCTCCAATCCCCCGTCCCTGTCCCGGACCAGCATCTAAGGCACCTCAAGGTACCCATCTACCCCGCCATCCTCCGCGGGGCACCTGCGCTCGGTGCGCTCATCCCCGACTTCATCGTCGCTCTTGCGCGCGCCTGCAAATATCCCGGGATTCTTCCCTTTTATCTTTGGTGAGATCCCACCCATCTACTATTTCAACTGGCATCTCTGCACACCTTCATTGCATCTTGATTGTTTCCCCACGCAATGCGCGTTCATCCAGAGCTCATCCGCAGCTCGACGACGACCACAGCTAACACCTCCAGCCACCGCCGCCCCCTCCAAACAATGGCATCACGAACCGTCATCCCAATCGACAAGAACTGGCAGTTTAAACAGGCCGGCAAAGAGGACAGCGAGCTCCTTGCTGTCAGTCAGTTCCCAACAAACGTCCACCTCGACCTCATTCACCACAACGTCATCCCCGACCCCTTCATCGGCAAAAACGAGCTTGATGTCCAGTGGATTGGCGAGGTGCAATGGCTGTACAAGACCACTTTCGCCTCAAAGGCTATCCCCGAGGGTGCCAAGGCAATCTTAGCCTTTGACGGTCTCGACACCTTTGCTACCGTTGTGCTCAATGGCAAGACAATCCTGGAAACGGATAACATGTTCACACCAGAGCGTGTCGATGTCACATCTGTCCTGAAAAAGGATGGGGAGAACGAGCTCGAGATCACCTTTGACAGCGCATACCTACGGGGTTGGAAGCTGGTTGAGAAGTACCCTGATCACAAGTGGGGATGCTGGAACGGCGACAACTCGAGACTTGCAGTCCGCAAAGCTCAATACCACTGGGTATGCGCTCCATAGGCCCTCATTTGGCTGGGATGATTATACTGACGCTGCTAGGGCTGGGATTGGGGCCCGACTCTTTTGACGTGCGGTCCTTGGAGGCCAATCAACCTCGAAATTTACGAGTCGCGCCTATCCGATCTTTACTTCGAGACCACTGTGGACGACTCCCTCAAGAGTGCCAAGGTAGTCGCTCACGCCACGACCGAAGGCAAGGCCTCGAAGGTCCGCTTCGATGTGTCACTCGATGGCAAGTCGCTGGCCTCTGAGACGATCGACGCCAAAGCCGACGCGGATATCGCAGCAACCTTCCAAATACAAGACCCTGCGCTGTGGTATCCAATTCGCTACGGCAAGCAGCCCTTGTACACCGTGACAGCCACCCTCCTTAGTAGCAGCGACGAGGTCGACACACTGTCCAAGAAGATTGGTATTCGCAAGGTCGAGCTGGTGCAGAGACCCGTCAAAGAGCAACCGGGAACATCATTCTTCTTCCAAGTCAACAACGTCCCCATCTTCTGCGGCGGAAGCGACTGGATTCCTGCCGACAACTTCATCCCTCGCATCAGCAAGGAGAGGTACTACGACTGGATCCGCCTGCTGGCAGACGGCAATCAGTTCATGGTTCGTGTCTGGGGCGGCGGTATCTACGAGGAGCAGGAGTTCTACGATGCCTGCGACGAGTATGGCATCCTCGTGTGGCAAGACTTCATGTTTGGATGCGGCAACTACCCTACCTGGCCGGATCTTCTAAAGTCTATCGACAGAGAGGCGAGAGAAAACGTCAAGATGCTGCGTCACCACCCCTCCATCGTTATTTGGGCGGGCAACAACGAAGATTACCAGTACGCAGAGAGCGAGAATCTGACATACGATCTCGCAAACAAGGACGCAGAGAGCTGGCTCAAGACCGATTTCCCCGCGCGATACATTTACGAAAAGATTCTCGTCGATACTTGCAAGGACCTCATCCCCGATACCTACTACCACTTTGGCAGCCCTTGGAGTGGGGAGGACACCAGAGACCCCACGGTCGGCGATCTTCACCAGTGGAACGTCTGGCACGGCACACAAGAAAAGTACCAAAACTTTGACAAGCTTGTCGGCCGCTTCGTGTCAGAATTCGGCATGGAGGCATTCCCCTCGGTCAAGACTATTGATGCATACCTGCCCAAAGGCAAGGACGACCCAGACCGCTACCCTCAATCCTCGACTGTCGACTTCCACAACAAAGCCGACGGCCACGAGCGCCGCATTGCCTTGTACCTGGTAGAGAACTTCCGCTACGGGCCCGATCCCCTGGAGCACTTTGTGTACTGCACGCAGCTGATGCAGGCTGAATGCTTGGCCTCGGCCTACAGACTGTGGAAGAGGCAGTGGAAAGGTCCCGGGAGGGAATACTGTGGCGGAGCACTGGTATGGCAGATCAACGACTGCTGGCCCGTGACTTCATGGGCCATCTGCGACTACTACCTCCGCCCGAAGCACGCCTACTTCACCGTAAAGCGCGAGATGGCGCCAATTTCCATTGGCATCACCCGCACGGAGCATAAACACCCCAAGGACAAGTACACGCGCGTCGATATCGAAACCAAGACGCAGATTGAAATTTGGGGCTCGAACTTGCAACTGGAAGACCTGACCGTTGACTTGCTGGTCAAGGCGTGGGACGTCGAGACCGGGGAGGAGACGTACTCTGAGACTGTTGACAAGGGCTTTGTCCTGCCTGAGAACAGGTCAACGGAGATGGCCGCCTTTGACGTGCCTGTGAGGCAAAAGGGCGATGAGGCCAAGACCGTCGTCGCAGCGTACCTGATTCAGAATGGCAAGCAGATTGCGCGGTACGTCAACTGGCCTGAGCCGCTCAAGTATCTGCACTTGCAGAAGCCCAAGAGCCTGAAGGCGACACTTGCGGAGGGTGGTGATGTGGTGGAGATCAGTGCCGAGGTTCCCGTCAAGGGTGTCGCGTTGGAGGCTGAGGATGATGCTGTGGTATTCAGCGATAACTTGGTAGACATTGTCCCCGGTGAGGTTGTCAAAATTGGAGTCAAGGGTGCGACCAAGGATACAAAGATTGAGACGAGGTATCTGGGTATGCTCAACTGATAGAGATTCACGGGTAGTGAATCACCTTTGGATTGTTTAAGGAAGTAGGATATGATTCAAAAGCAATATTAAGTCTTTCGGATTTCACTCCAGACTGTCAAACGGTGCAATGAATCGAAGGCTGTCTATGTCTACTGAGTCCAAGATCACGGCCAGTGAGTCTATGGCCTCTAATAAGTAAGGTTAAGTTCCCGTATCCCCCATCTCAAAATAATCATGCCCACCACGTCTCGGCCCTGGAGGCAAGCAATCTGTCTACAAGGCCGCCAAGAAGAGCCCCTCTAGGCGAAGACCCTCAGTATCGGCGACTTCAGTATACACTCTCGGGCTGTGGTAGGGGTGGTACGGGTACGGTCTGGTGTAAGTAGCGGGTGTCAGTATGCAAGTATGATTCCAACCTGTATGCCTGCTTGTGGGATGGAAAATAAGCTGATTGCAACTCACCCGTATTCAGGCGTAAACGAGATCTGATAATCGGCACCGCGAGTCGCGCTGTGTTGAATGACCTTTGTCCAGAACCGCTCAAAGAACTCCCTCTCGGGCTTATAGACTGGGTCTGAAGGGTCGGCGCACTGCGAGGCCTGTGTTGTGCCGATGCGGGCGTGGACGTGGTAGATCTATGGACGTCAGTATCGACGTTGGTCACCTACGCGCTTGAAGCATGGTGTTTCCGTTCAACTTACATGCGGGATGACCTTTTCGAGGACCTCCTGGTCTTCTACGGACTCGTCCAACAGACGCTCTGAGACGACGACCCAGTGCGAGATGTCGGCGGTTATGCGAAGGCTGAAGCAGAGTAGCCACTGTCAGAGTAGTTCTCGGTACACGTCTTTGAAAGTGAGTACTCACTTCGGCACTCTTTCCAGGATGTACCTTGCCGCGTACGGGTTGAACATGGATCGGTTTCGGTGTGTCTCGTGTGTCACTCGCCCCGCAAACCCCAGGTCCTCGTCGATCTTGAATGTGCCTTGGTAGAACTCGACGGACTGGTCGAGAGTCCAGATGTCGCTATTCCTCGAGACTCAGCACTGTCCCGGAATCAATGTGCGACCTGTTGGGGGAGCGTACCTTCCAGACTGTGCGTTCACTTTCACGGGCTTGAGAACTTGGGCACGTTCGAGTTGCTTGCGATAGTGCTCGAGGTGGTCTTTTGGCGTCAGCCCTGGTGGCCTGGGACCTATGTATCCGGGCCATGAGGACATGATCCTAGAGCAGGGGCATTAGCACAAGTGGTTTTTGGTGGCTAGGGGAGATCTTCAAGCTGACTGTGCGACAAGCTGGAAATCAAATTGGTCGAGAATGCGTCTCAGTTCGGGTAGTTGCTCGGCGGGAATGTCTCTATAGTCAATCTCGACTCCGGCTACGCGATGTAGTGAGTCAGTGGCGGGGGTTTTCTCACAATTAGAGTCACAACGATGCGAATGCGAACTTACTGTAGCCCTTGGCCTTGAGATCTGGGAATAGAGCGACCCAGTTGGCGAAGTTGTCGCCAGGGGAGATACCCCACAGCGTGCGAAATCGAGCGATGCTGGGCATGTTGACCAAGTGCAGATACTATGGGATCTAGTAACGGACAAGAAAACTAACGAAGGAGAGAAGGATCAAAGACAAAGGACCAGCTTCGAAAATCGGAAAACCTGGTAAGGCGAACGTGCGAGGGCGAGGCATTGCTTTTTAAAGCTCGCACAGCTCCCACTAGAACCCCTCCATAACTTCAACCCCGTTCCAAAGCTCCCCACGATTCCGTCAAACTCGAGAGCTCTTATTCCATCTATAGCCGGCCAATGACCCGAAACCAATTATTTGAGAAGGGCTGCAACGGTGGACCCCGAAAATGGACCGAAAGCGCCCGAGTCTTGCTTTCTTTGCTTTTGCTATAGCCAAATCTGGGGCCATCGTAGTCTCGAAGGGATACACTCGGCGAACTCTTACTTGATATGGACAGTCCTCAAAGGAACGGCGCAATGGCATCATCCCGTCCTTTCGTGAACCCCGCGGGTTGCAAGCCCCTCCCCCACTTGCCAGAAACGGTAATTATTCCCTCGGAGTCTGGGGAATAGTGGATCATCCATTCGTTGTGTGAGCATCAACTCGAGTCTTGAGCTGCCCAAAGCCTGTGAATCAGAAAAGGCAATAGAAATGGAGGCGTTCTGAGCTATATCGAGTAAGACTCGCCTATTTTTGAAATCTGTATGTATAAAGGCAGAGCGTCGTGCTTTGGTGTCTCTTGCCGCGCCAGTGTCAAGTCTGATTGGGTGTCAGTAGCTTGATGGTGCCAAACCAGTCTGCATGCTACTTAGATCAATGCCATCTTGGAGCGCATCGAATTCTGTATCAGAGTATTCTCGCTTTCCGTTGATGGCTATTAATCACACCCTCTGCTACCTGCGACTAGGCTGTTCGAAATACCCAGCCCTATCGGCAGATCTTGACCAACCATGCCGGGTTCAATGCAACGTGGGAGACTGAACTAGACATCACGATGAATTCCATTCGTCATCAAGTCGTGATTAACCCCTAGAAACGGAAACAGGATATCTACGGCAGAAGTTCCGTGCCAATGGACTGGCTTTGAAGTCCATGGGTTATCCTACTACCCCGTCCACCTCTGTCTTCCTACCTGACGTAAATTACGTCTAAAGAGCACGGCCAATGCAGACAGAGACCCTGTCGTGGGGATCCATCGACTGACGAGAGGCCGACTTCTTTGTATGATCAGCTCTCCTGGTTCTGAATCTCCATTGCGACATGCCAATCCAAATGTTCGAGAACATCTTCTGGCTGCACAGCCTCGTCACACTTAGGGCACAAGTATTGCTGTCCTTGCTCGTCTGTTGAGCTACCTTGAACGGCCCGAGCCGAGATACTCGCAGTACCTAATCTCCCTGATGTTGAGTCTTCTGCTGCATCGTTCGCTGTATATATCCTTTTTCTACCTGCATGCATGTTCGCCACATCTCCCTCTCGGCTTCGTTTCCGAGGGGACGCAGAGGAGTCCGATGTAAAGAAGGATGTGATACGGTGCCCAGGATCAGACGTAGGCACCCCGGATTCCAGATTCGACATGCTAACAGAGATACCCAAGCACGGCCAAGACTCTCCGTGGTCTGTAAGATCCTTGAGTAATCCATGCAGCATGGTAAATATGGTATCCCGGTTGATCTCGACGTGCGGTGGGATCGGCGCTTGCTTGGATCGCGTCGGGCCGAACCGACCCCGGATATGGTGTTGAACAGCAATAGTCCTGGGTCGTCGAGGCACCTCTAAATCCAGATCGAGATCGCGTAGTCGCGACTCGAGATCTGCCGCAAAGATTCGCAGCCATTTGCTGGCCTGTTGAAGGTTCTCGGCTTTGGGCACAAAGGTCTTGGCAGCCAGCAAAGACTGGACTTCACTCCGGGGCCTCACTGGGCCTGTCTCGTCACCTCTGATGGCCCTATACACCCATTGACCATCTTGCGCTCCCAATTCTGATCTCATCTCTGCAAGTGAGACCTGGAGTAGGTCGCGTATGCCATCGGACCCGAACGCCTCGACGACTTTCTGACCAAGCTGCCTTGCCAAACCGGAGAGTGAGGTCACTTTGAGGGTCGGCATAATGGTGGGGATGCACTTGCGCCTGATGATTGTTTGACCGAATGGTTTGTTCATTCGAGAAGCGACCTTGGCGAGCATCTTGTTATGGCTAATGCCAGCGGACGTCGTGAGTTCCAGTTCCGCCTTGATCTCTTTGCGGATATTGCGAATAATGCTAGCCCCGATGCTCAGTACCACATCGTCCCAGTCGAGTATGTATTCTGTGTCACGGGCATTGGGAAGATCCATCACTTTGTCCGACTTCCAGTCGAGCGGCGTGTCCACCGGGGGCAACGGTAGCGTCTCTTCGGGGTTGTCTCTGAGCGATCCCAATCCGGGGAATCGCTCTGTCAGAACCTGGTAGACTTGAGCTGACAGGTCAACGTAGAACTCATCCACCCCGGCTCTCTCGATGGTAGGCGCAGGTGTGGCCGGAAGAATCCTTCGCACAAGCTTCATCGTCCTTCGCGACATGTCGCGATATGGGTCCAGAGAGGCCTTGTCCGTCGTCAAATTGTCCAGAACGTCGGCCCTGTACCTCCAGCAATCATCGCCTTCCCTCCAAGTTGGGACATGTTGAAGGACGATGTCTGGGCAGAGCCGACGGGCTTCCTCCACCGAGATAGTCCTCTTCAGTCCGCGATCCTTTGCTGGATAATTCAACGCGATGATGGCGTTCCATTGGCGCACTGCGAGGGGCTTGGAAGGAGGAAGACCCAGCCTGACTGATTCGTATTGGGCATAGAAGGAGTCGTAATCGACGAGTGCAACAACTCGGAGAGGCGATTCTGGAGACGATTGTGCTAGGAGCTGCAAGTCATGCTGGGTGAACTGTGATTCTGCGCTCGTCGGATCAGTCGGGAACGTGAAGCTATCATCGGACATGGCTATGGCGTGTTCAGCTCCGTAGAAACATGTCGTCGCTCATTTAAATGCGTAAGGTGAGTGAAGACCGTTGAGTTCAAATCCAAGGCAATCTCGGCACAAGAGCCAAGACTTGATTGCATTCCTGTAGATGGAGGTTGGAAATGTAGCTGTCGACTGCGCCATTGGAAGGAAATGTCTGGGGTCCTCACTAACAGGCAATGAGCACAGCCTAGGGACTTGACTGCAGTAGTCCTGTGACATTCTGTTAGAGTGTAACTTTAGATCGCGGGTAATCGCTAACTGAATCGAACATCCCAAGGCTGCTTATGCGGAGCTGACGTACAATTACAGTGTAAAAATGTCCGAGACTTAGTGGGTAGCTGCCTGTGAGTGAGAAACCAAGACTACTTTGGGGGTTGAGGTTACCTAATATCACCGACTGGACTCAACTTCAGTCCGCATAATGAGAGCTTCACTGTAAGATGATGATTGAAGAGGATCCATAGGTACAGTATCCAGAGGAAAGCGTATGGACCGATTTCAGAAATGGGAAAAAAAAACATCTCAAGACGGATAAATTACGATCGAATCAATCGTATCTGTCATATCTTCAGAGAGTCTTACAGGCCAGTGAGGTGCCCAAGAAGCTTTAAATCGGTTTCCATGCCCCAACTCTGCAATTGGTTAGAGTACAATATTTCAAGTTGGGTCGGCGGCGCCGCCTGATCACAGACCATCTGCACCAATAGCCGGCGTAAGAATCTTCAATTCAGGTAGTATTACTGATTAACGGCAGAGAAAAAGACAAGTCCCATTTCCACCTCGGTAGTCGGAAACCCCCGAAACAAAGTCCATCATAACGGAGTCATTGTCTTAAGCCTTGAGGTTGGAGACATAAATGCAGTGGGCGGTGTCCTTCGCGTCGGTGCAGTCGCGGCGGATCAGCTTGGCGCCGTTGTTGACGCCGTCGCAGCTGCAGTGGGAGCATTCGTGCCAGTAGCACCGGTTGCTGTCGTAGTAGCAGGCAATGCCCTCCTCAGCCACACAGAGCTTCTGTTATAGCAGACTTGTCAGTAAATCTGGACGATCTGAACCTTGAGACCGTGTGTAACTTACGCGAGCGAAGAGCTGGGAAGCCTCGTTGGGAGAGGTTTCGAGGGGAGCGGCGAATACGGCGCCGAAGAGGGCGACGGCCGAGAAGATGACAGCCGACTTCATTTTGAATGTTGTAAAAGAGTGTTTAGATTTTAAAGAGTGTGTGGGTTGATAGCGAATATGTAGCTGTTGACAGATTTGTTCGAGTTGATAAAGTAATATGAGTTGGAGGGAGAGAATCGTCCTTCGTCTTCTTAATAGAAACGTCAACCTCATGTGTTCTCCCTTCCTGTGCCTTTTTTCTCTCATCCCAAGTCGTGCCGTTGTCCCCATCGCCAAATTTACTCGTGCTTTAAAATTGCGCATCTACGGGGACGATGACTTTTGAAAAATATCTCCGAATAGAACACCGACACGCAGACCCGGAACACAGCCCGCGAGGAGCGCGGCAGGGCTGTGCTAGCCCACGATCCCCGCAGTTCTCAGCCAGCGGAGTTGGGCTCACTAGGAGCTACGATACACCATGGATATCAATGTAGTGCGAAGCTTTGTTTTAGAGGACAATAAATAGATTGCTTTTCAGGAACCGAAGATACATGATTCGTCATTTAGGCCCGATCGAGGTTGCATGTGGTGCTGATATGTCAACGCAGGTGATTGTTGATGTGTGCAAAATTGTTTACCCCCTTCAGCCCTTCGGGTGAACTCTCCCACAATCCCGCGCCGAGATTACAAAGTAATTTCATGTCTATTGGCAAGCCTAAAATAATAGTAGTCGTGTAGCTGTGGGTTAGCGCACGAATCGTACAACGCTTTTTGCTGGAATGCTCGGAGCGCATAGGCGGAACGTGGAGATTTCAAGTTTCATATATTTCTGAACAGGAAAATTAACAGCGAAGACACCATCTTCTTCTAATGTGAAATGCGAATTTGAATGTAAAATAGGCTATTTTACTTCTATTGGTAGGGCCCGAAGGTTTTGGAACAACTTAACGAGGTATAGTTTGACATCAACTGATCGAAAGGTGACAAGGAAGACCGCGCCATATTAGTTCGGGACTTGGAATAGCCCTATTCTAGCCATCGGCATCTTCCGTCTAAAGGCGCAGATCCAAATTTCGGGCACGTCCGCAACCGCTTCGACTTACGATTCATGTCATTATAGGTAGAGAGGTCTAGTCGAGATGGAATCTCGTTGGTAATAGAGCTGTGAGCGAGTTCGATATAGTCCTAATGGGGCGACCTTAACGGCAGACAAATATGCTCAACTTCCCCTTCCCGGGACTGCCGTCTTCGGGCTCTATCAACTCCTTCTTCCAAATAAACAGCCAATCCTGGAAGCTTAGGGCTGACTTAGGGCTTAGAGGCTGGCTCTTATAGCTCCCAGAGATCCGAGATGGCTTCTTAGACTTGTAAAAATGACGGCTAGATGGTCATTAGTAGTGACGAGAGCTCGCGGATACTAGCGATCAATTGCGAGTAGGAGAGGGCTTTGGAGAAATCTAATCTGAGTATAGTGAGAGACGGAGAGATAACCATTGATGGTCATGAAGAATTCTGTGTATTCGTCTTGATGTTCCCAGATGCCCTCGTTCGCCATTGGAATTATTCACACAATCCCGTGATACGCATGGGATGTTGATGCCAAAAGGGCACCAGGCTGCTTAAGTACCTGGTCATTTGTGGAGGACTTCACAAAACGAGACGAGGAGTCCTTCAATAAGGGTCTTGGTGAGCCTCTAGCATGATCATCTAGAAATTTAAGCTGTACCCCGTAGCTTATTTACACCTTATCAACGGCTCGATGTCACTCCTACGGGCTTGGTTTGGAGGACTAGGACTTGTTGCTGACGACTTCTAGTTCAAGTGTCGAAACTATTTTCACTAAGATCTCCTATACGTACATGTAAGTTTGGAGACAATAATTTCCTTGTATGATATGGAAGGCTCAAATTCCATCATCAACTTTCTATCTGGGCCCATGCCTTGACGCGGACTTGCGGATTCGCGGAGCAGGATGGGTGAGACCCCTTACCGGTGACGAAGCAAGATAACGAGACGGCATATACACTGTCCGTCAATAAAGAATTGAAGCATATCATAAAGTTACTCAACGACTTTCTATGCCATCAAAAGCCGACCAAATCGCTATCTTATCACTGACATGTCAATTTTCGGAACCCCCGCAACCAGCATCGCACGAGCAATCGTCAGTCTAAGCTGTGGCATCCATCATTGCAGTAGCTGGAGGCACCGGCGATCTCGATCGTGCCATTGTTGAGAATATTCCAGCAGACGGGAAGTTCTAAGTCGTCATCTTGAGCAGAAAGGTAATGTGTGTATAATTCCCACGATCCAAAACGCCGCAGGTTCGACTCGCCCACTAAAATAAACAAAACTCTAGGCGGATGAAGACAGGGAGAAGGAGATCGGGGCTCGTATTCTGCCGGTCGACTATAGCAGTGCCGTCAATATTGCTAAGGCCTTGGAAGAGAGCAATGTGCATACGGTCGTGTCCACCCTTAGCAACATGGCGTCTATGCAGCCAGATTTGAACTTGATTGCTGCTGTCGACCAGTCCGCGGCCACCAAGCGATATGTTCCCAGCATCTGGGCCGCCAAATCCAGCAGAGAGTAAGCATCAATTTTCCGGACTCTTTGTGGACAGCAAGACTAAGATACTCTTTCTCTCATAGATACGCGGAGGGGATGCCAATCATTAAACTCAAGATTCTCATCATTGACGCACTTGAAAAGACCAACTTGGAATTTTCGGCTTGGTACCCTGGACACTTCGCTGACTACTTTGTGTGACCGCCCCTCAAAATTCATCTCACGAGCATGGCTATGGTCGTGGACGTCGTCAACAACAAGGCAGGCATCACGGGTTCTGGAGACGTGCCAGTGGCCAAGACTTTCGCATCGAATCTAGCCAAGTTCGTCGCCGCAGCCCTGACTCTACCAAAGTGGGAGCGGGAGACGTATCTTATCGGCTACAAGTTGACGTGGAACCAGCTCATCGAGCTCGCTGAAGCCGTCAAAGGTGCCAAGTTTGACGTTTCCCAAACGTTGAAAGCTGGTAAGGTGACGAAACTGCCTCGCCATAGATCACCTTATCCTTACATTTCAGACGAGCAGCTACAGCCTATGTTTGCCATCTTAGGTCTCGTGTTCGAACGTGGTGTATTTGACTTAAAGGTTGAGACCTCCATCACGCAAGACTTTCCTGATCTCAAATTGAGGTCTATAAAGGAGCTGCTGGAAGAGGCTCACAAGCTCAAAATTTAATTATTTCACTCCCAGGAACGGCGAGAAACTCGAAAGAGTGTGTGAATACAAGTCAAGAGGCGATTTCTTTAGTCTTGATAGAGATGATAGAGGGGAAACATCTGTGGCTTAGCCTAGAGAGCTTTCGCCTTGTTTCTTGTGTTTGCAAGTTGCCCTCATGACTAGTACTAGTATGATGTCTGGCGAACACTCTTGAAAATGCCCAAAATTCGGTACTCAGAGTGGCACAAAGGCTCCGCGGGGCGCTCATGCAGGTATCTTCAACAGCCCACATGAGCCCCATGTGTCATGGCATGACAGTGGTGCGTGAGGCCGATTCGGGCGATCTCGGAGCTTAAGATTGTGGACTCGACAGGAAGCCGTTTCCCCAGATCGACAGATTCCCCTGCAAGCGTCCAAGATGGTCAGCTCCCGGACGGAAGGGTGTTCCGAGAGCCTAGAAGGTTCAGGTCGGACAGGAGCATAAATATCGAGGTAACTCCCTTTCAAGCAGAGGCTGCAGAGTGCCGCTCTGCTATGCATTTAGAGATGCTACGCGAACGGACATCGAATCGGCATCGGTGTCTTCGCGCATTACATCGCGAATCCCGACAGATTCCCCGAACTGTCTGACACCAAACATATATGACTGCGATAATACTGGCGACATTCATACATACTAGCCTTTGCGATTGGGCCGACGATAGACGAGCGATACAACAGACCTGGAACGAGCCTGGAATGAGTCTGGAAGAATCGTACCACAACGTTCGGATGTGCCCGACGTTCAAGAAAAGAAGGGCTTCGCATTATATGGGAGAATGCTGGATGGGGGGGAAGATGACCGAGTCGCAATCTAGCCCTCTTGTGGACTCCCTCGACAGAAAAGGGGGACGACGAGGACCCGAAAAGCAACACGAGGCATCAGCAAAAGTTTTCACGAGCACCTGACAAACGCTCGGTCACAGACAACGTGATAAGAAAACAATTTTCAAAATAATTGAGGTAAGGGAAAGGAGCGGTAAGTCTCCGACCGGCCGAGAGGTGAAGCAGCATGACCCAAGACCGGGAATATGTCTCCCACTCTACCCCACCGCGCCCCCAGATCTTTCTGGAGTCTTTTCTTAAACCCACTAGAACCCATCTATCGGATCCAATTCACATGTTCCCATTGGCGCGGGTAAAGTGCTGGATAAATAGGCCACAGGACGCTAGAGTCGGGTACAATGCCGCTGCGTTGCGCGCCTATGACACCTTGGGACAACTGTTCCACTGCGAATTTCGATGCTTGGGAGAAAGCCATCCGAGGACTCAACATTGTTGACTTTGGTCGATTGGAAAGAAGCCAGCGGGTAGCAGTCAACAAGTCTGATGCTCTCCCGGAAGCCCTCCTCAAGTCCACAACCCCGGTTCCATCTCCCTACGAGATCTGCTCTTTCAGACCAGTTAGAGAGACGCTTTGGTCCATCGTACAACCAGACCCCAGGTTCTTACGAAAACGAGGAGCAACGTGGGAAAAGTTGAGAAGCTCCCTGGCAACCAAACCAAACCACACCACCAAACCAAGCCTCTCCCTCTCTTTTCTTTTTACCCCCACCCCGCACCGGCGATAGCTCTTCTGGAGCACAGTCAAGGAAGAGTCTCGACTGCCATAGCAGTGAATGAGGGCGTATGAATACGGGTAATGACACGGGATAAACAAGAACGTGGAGCTTCCCTCCAGCTCTAGGCTGGAATTGGGAAGTCTAGGAGTCTAAGACGCGCCGCAATGAGGGGCAGCCGTCAGTCGCACAGAACACCGGTGGGTTACCAGTTGAGACGATGTGCGATCTTTGTCGTCTCTCACCCACGGCACGGCACAGGCACAGCGCAGCTCGCTCATTCATCCTCCCAGAACATCCGTAACTTGGTCGCATTCCCCATCCTGATCGCGTCCCTCCACATCCCTCCAACCCCTCCAATCCTGATCCTGACCCATCACAACGTTTCTGCGGGCCAAGGACTGCCGTCATAGCTATTTAATCCATTGCGCGCCGGTCCACGATACCCGGAGCATCACTTCTACTCTCACTTTTCTCGCTCGGCCTTCCATCATCCAGCGTACTGATTGTCTCTACCATTCCCCAACGATACCCCTTTTGTTTAGGAGACTGTAAACTCTGTGACGAACGCGCAGCCAAAAGTTAATCTTGTGCTTCTCTCGGTGGAACGAGCACCGACCAACTCCAAACCCCCATCCCTCACCGAATCCTGCCTCTTCCCGTAACCCCGCAATCCATCCATCATGGCCGGCACCGAGGGACAAAGCGTATGTTTCCCCTCATCACGGAGGCCTGTTTGCGCCTGGAGCTTGATCGACATCTACTAACACCCCTTAGAACCTCTCCTTCATCCTCAACAAACCCCACGACGTCGAGTTCGCCGAGCGCCCCATCCCCAAGCTCTCCGACCCCCACGAAGTCCTCGTCGCCGTCAACTACACTGGTATCTGCGGATCCGATATCCACTACTGGGAGCACGGCGCCATCGGCCACTTTGTCGTCAAGGACCCCATGGTCCTCGGCCACGAGTCCGCCGGCACCGTTATCCAGGTCGGCGAGAACGTAAAGAACCTCGTAGTTGGCGACCGCATCGCTCTTGAGCCAGGCTACCCCTGCCGTCGCTGCGGCGACTGTCTTGCTGGTTTCTACAACCTCTGCCCTGATATGCGCTTCGCGGCGACTCCCCCCTACGATGGCACCCTTGCCGGTTTCTGGACCGCGCCCTCCGACTTCTGCTACAAGCTGCCCGATAACGTCTCCCTGCAAGAGGGAGCTCTGATTGAGCCGTTGGCCGTTGCCGTTCACATCACCAAGCAGGCCCAAATCACACCCGGCGCCTCCGTCGTCGTCATGGGCGCCGGCCCTGTTGGTCTGCTCTGTGCCGCCGTAGCGAGGTCTTTCGGTGCTACCAAGGTCGTCAGCGTCGATATCGTCCAGTCCAAGCTTGACTTCGCCAAAGACCTCGCCTCTACTCACACCTACCTCTCCCAGCGCATTTCCGCCGAGGAGAACGCCAAGGCCCTCATCAAGCAATGCGACCTCGGCGCGGGAGCCGACTGTGTCATCGACGCCAGCGGCGCCGAGCCCTCTATCCAGACCAGCTTGCACGTCGTCAGAATGGGCGGCACCTACGTTCAGGGTGGTATGGGCAAATCCGACATCAACTTCCCCATCATGGCTCTGTGCTTGAAGGAGGTTACTGCTCGCGGCAGCTTCCGTTACGGCCCTGGTGACTACAAGCTCGCCATTGACCTCGTCGCCAACGGCAGAGTCAACGTCAAGAAGCTTATTTCCGGCATTGTCGAGTTCAAGCAGGCCGAGGAGGCCTTCAAGAAGGTCAAGGAGGGTCAAGTGATCAAGATCCTCATCGCCGGCCCCAACGAGAAGGTCGACGGAACCTTCAGCACCGAGGTGGACCCCAAGAAGGCAGCCGAGAACAGCAACCAGGGTGGATGCTGCTGAGCGATCGGCGGGGATCTCCAAAGTCAAATAGGGAAAAAAAAAGTAATGACTGGCGAGCGGATGATATCGAAAAAGTTGGGCGTATTGGGTGGGTTTGCAATGTATTTCTCGGCGCATGCAGCATGTACGGGTTTTGATGAGACGTGGTGAGTGCGGCACAGCAGAGTAGGTTTGCATTGGATGAGTATGATCAACGAAAGATTCAATCACTTTTTGCACTTCATGGACTTATCTCCGCGTGTATCATGCCGGTTCCGGCTCTACTGGGAAGTTGACAAGATTGGCCATTCGTTGTACCTACACCAGGCTGCTTCTGCACTGCGTAGCATCGTCAGTCCGTCATATCAAGCATCATACGACAACCTGCGCCCTTTACAAATTAGTATCAGTGTGGTGAAACTCATACAACAAAGCAATGATCATCAGCCGGCAGACAGGACCCTGGCCAAGTCCAACTAAAGTTATCTTTTCGGGCATGGCCAAACGTTAGCATGTTAGCTCAGTACCCTTATCAACGCCCAACGGCCGCCAAAGTCCGAGTCTTTGCTATCGCGACAACTCCTCAGAGTCTTATTTCCCCCATTTCAGATAGTGGAGAGGAACTTGACGAAGCAGCCATTCACGGCTACGAGATAGACGAGCAACAGGCATGTAAACTGCGCAAAACTCCGCCCTCCCGCTCAGCTGAAGACGCCACGAAGCGCACTAGCAGCTTGAGCGTCACTCTTGTCCCCAGAACCGGTCTAGCCCGGACGCCTTGGGTCCCACAACCTCACCCGTTCCGCCCTCTTACCCCTGGTCAACGCGGAATCTCTAATGTCCCCCATTTGAACCCTTGATCAAGCCTCAAGTCGGGCAACTCAACCTCAGACATGGTCTAGGGATCTGCCTACGGACACGGATTCACAACAAAGTGACTAACACCGGCCACCGCTAGTGAGAACAAACGTTCGCGCCCAGGACTCACCACAAAATCCGTGTCGACCACCCGCATTACCGCAGCCCTGCCAAGGCAAACGATGTCAAACTTGCAGAGGAGCTGAACTACTGAACAACAACTCAACCACACTAGCATCTCAACTCATGGCTACGCACGGCCGTTTCTAGCTTGAAAAGCATCCACAATTAGGCTTTCTTCGTTTCCATACACCAGTCTGGGAAATAAGCCTTTCGCAGCCCCTACTTTTGTACGGCTTGTATGGGAGCCTCATGCAAGTCTGCCGCTAGACTGAAGTCTCTCCTCGGCACGTTGGTTTATCACAAGAACCCTGCATCACGATGGACGCCATCAGGTACATGTGGCACGCCCAGAGAGCAAGAAAAGAGAATGAAAGCTGAAAGAGGGAGCGCTCTGGTTGGCTGTGTGAGAGATGGGGGAGATGTAGGCGACGATGTCGGCCGCCCCCTCCCTTGACTCGTCCTTGTCACTTTCTGTCTGAGTTTCACTCCATAAGTATACCTGCATCATGCCCATATCCACCATGGCGCTCTTGGTCTTTCTGTCTTTGATTCCCCACGAGCTCGACAAGACCTCCATCTCACTCACGCCAGGGCTGCCAACACTGACGAGTCGACAAAAACCGTGAACAACTCGTCTCGCTATACAACCTTGTCTATCAACTCTTGGACACCATGGAGAATACCCAACATCAACAGCCTCAAGCACAGCCTCAACCGCAGGTCCAGCATCAACCACAGCAGTTTACCCACCATGCTTCAACCAGCCCACCACCGCCCATGATCATGACCCCGGCGTGGATGGTTGCCATCCGTGGCGTACAGTTCTTCCTGGCCATTGTCATACTCGGTTTGTCAGCAGCTATCATTCACTGGGTGTACATGGATGAACTCGGCCTCGCTGTTGCTATTGTACGTCCTTCCTCTCATCCATGACTGCTCGTGCAGGTAAGTCAACATACCCACTTCCTGGCACCCCCCTGTTTCTGGCACCACAAAAACGATGGGATCACAACCCAACCTCCTCATTACTATTAACTATTGATCCTCAACCACACCCACTACAATACAGCTGCCAGCCTCACTAGGGCATTCAGAGTCGCTGGATTCAGCCGTGATAACCTCCTTTTCACCCGCTTCGATTTGAGCCCGATGGATATCCCTGATGTTCGCGAACTTCGTATTGGGATCG